CAGCGATGCCTCTTAATCGTGTTTTCAAATTGATTTCGTGCAAAAACAATTGTGTTTTTCCAATTTTTAGCGCTGTCAGAACCACCGCAAGGTAATCTTACGTAGTCCTGTCAAGTTTTGTTGAAATCGGTTGAAAAATGTAGGAAATCCGATCCAATATATAAACGTAAAGACACACACACACAACCTGGGTTTTATAATAAGTATGATTAGTAGTAAATTAGTGCTAAATTTAGCCTCTAACGACTAAGTTCAGCTTCAAACCGAAGAAAGGTGAAGGCGGACAACTTGTACCTCAACCAGATATTTCTAGTAGATGGAGTTCGATGACCGGGGAAATCTGTGCATCAAGTGTAAAAGGAGTCGACCGTTGTCGGTATCATCGAGTCAATGCGAATGATCCTTTCCTTACTTGTATAGTATATTCTTCGCTAGTGCTACATACAGTTTTGAATTAAGTTTTTCTTCACTTAAATCAATTTCCACGCAAGGCTATTTCTTCTGTTGCGTCGCCCGCACCACAGCACTCATAATTCCGAGAAATCAGATGCTCAGTCTTTGGAAATGACGATATTACTTTTGTTCCTAAAAGAACTAGGTTAAGCGGCGAAAACATTTCCATGCAGCATGTGGAGTATTGAAGCCTTCAGCCACTCTGCCCCATAGCTAGGGGATAAGCGTTGGGTTGGTAACTTTCCATGTGTAAAGAAATTCCTGCTTTTATATATCCTCTGTCTTGTGGACATATCCAAACACGGAAAATGCTATGAAAGTAAATCCAGACAGAAAAACGGAGAGGAGCCCCGAAGGCGGTTGGCTTCCTACACTGACAGTGTTGCGGCAACTTCCCACGTTTAATGTTCTGTATTTATTTGGGTCTTGTTGATAGGGTCGAAAGTGGATCATGTATTATAGGCAGAGAAAAGTCTACATAAACCATGGCACAGACCTGCTTCATGGAGAGGTCAATCCAGTCTCACCACGAAAGGACTGAATTTAGACTGAACAGGACGCTACCTTTATCTCGCGAGATAAACGGATGCCTATTAATTAATAGTAACCATTCGTTAGTCGCGATGAGCTATGGGATTCCTGTTGCAGGTGCCTGCTCAGGAATCGTGCAAATATGTTGAGTTAAAGTTTCTTTGAGAGAGTGCGTATTCTGGTATGGTTAGGAGTTGAACAAGACCAGGGCACTCGAACTCTCAGTGACGATGGCGCACGCTGCAATCGTCTCCTCAGTACGGTAAATATCAATAATCCCCTTGAGAAATCGACTATTGTGAGATTCGATCCGGGGACTTATTGTCGGAAAGCTAATGTATATGGGTACAAATAAGTAAATTTAATGTGACATTTTTCTCTTGGCACATACATTTTGCAGGCCCTATTTTCAGCATCACCTTGCATTCAGTTTTATATCGACCATCATACTGTGTTAATTACTTGCACTAATGACCTGAATGACCCTGGATGAAAGTACATTATCGAACACTTCGAGCTTCTAAGTTTAAATTAAACAAATCGATTTCTGCGTAGTCCATTTCGTTTTATTGCCACTGTAGATGCACAACTAAACGCCCGCCTCTGTGTGCGTCTGTGTATCTGTGCAACATTCCTTCTGCTTATGAATCTTTTAGAATTATTTGAATGTCTGCATATGTTCGCTTTCGCTTGAATCCCTTTGGCAAGGTATGAATCCATCTCTTCGCTCCCCCCCAAATATCTAGTGGTTAAAACCATAGAATTCTGGGCTCTTTAGACTTGGCATGTAATCAGACTAGCAGAAAGACAACTCTGAAATAAAAAAAAAGCCGGTTTTCCGTGGTGGTAGTCACCCTATCTATAAAAACAATTCCTTGCTAATGGCAACACCAATACCGAGTGTTTTGAAACTTTGTCCATATACTATAGCGCAGGCGTTATACATGGTTAACAGACAGCGACATACATTGCTTGTTTTGGAGAACTGCATATACAATGGCTTGAAAATAAATGAACTACCTTACGTTTGTTAATTATATACCAAAATTGAGGCTTATTAGCATTACGCATTTATCAGTACATGTAAGGATTTTTGACGGTCAGAAAACAAACTACACTTTCTTTAATGCTGTATGGGGAATGATAGATCATATTATGTATAGAGATGCTGCAAAAAGGCGATGCAAAAATATTGGTCCATCAGCGAAAGTTTTACTGTTCAGCTCTTTGCCAAAGTTAAAAAGGAAAGTGTTTTGCTTCTGTAATAATGAAGTGATATTTAGTGTTACAGGAAGCTAAAGTCAAAGTATGGAGTTAGTAATTAGTGTTGCTGACTTTGATTCGAATAATTACATGTGGCATTGAATGAAACAAAGTCCAGGTTTCCACAATGAGAATTTCTAATTTTGTTAGCAGTAATCTCAAATCTCTTGTGGTTGGCGTTGTTTTCGATGGAGACATCGTTTATTCAGTTCCCACCAAAATGCTTCAGTTACATTGAGATCAGAACTTGCTAAAGATGAACATAACATCCACCGGAAACCTTTCTGTAGCACGTGATGTACAGCTGAGAGCAACCTCATACTGAAAAATGACTCAATTTCGTAATCTGGCAGATGATTCAACCGTCATTCAGTTATGTGCCATGCGTGATACACAATATATATATATATATATATATATATATATATATATATACACAATCATGTACCTTTCAATACATGACTGACAAGGCAGATTTTTCCCGAAGTAGGTTGCCATTTCTTTCTGCGGTAGATCCCAGTCTGTCCTGATATTTACCCATAAAGAAGAAGAGGATTCATACCTTTCCCAAGAGTATTAGCACTTAAGTGAATGTAATGAATTCTACTGGAATTCGAACGCGGCTCCTCGATTCCTTAATCCGAGCCGCTATCCATTACTCCACTGTCGCTCTGTCGAATATGTTTAGATTTCTGTAAATTTTTACCAATTTCTTCTACCATCGCTGTTGATGTGAACGCCGCACCATTACGTATCTACCACCAAATTTGATCGTATTTATGGTCTATCTTGCATTGTTTCTTTGTACTTCTTACATATTCTCTTGCATTAAAATATAACTATACTTTACATTTATCAATAGAATTACCCTTTTCCAGTATCTCATTTTACATCTGCTTTATATCAGTTCAGACTGCTATTCCGATATTTTTTGGTTAATGTTTTGTTGCAGCTATACATATGTTTAGGTTTTTTTTATCGTAATACACTGCGTTAACTGAAGCTTCACTGTTTACCGCTCACTTGTCTTGTTAATTCTGGCTACCAGTGTTCGCATAATGTTCTTGGATCTGTTTTGTCAAAAGTTTATGTTCTACCAGTTTTCTTTGTATTTAAAACGATTCCAGTAGTATTAAACGTCTTTTGGATGGTTTGAATATTGTTTCTGGAAATTTCTAACTACCTGGCGATCTTTTGTTGATTCAAAATCACGACCTTCATCTTTATTTCAGTAGAAATTGTAGCCATGATTTTTGTGTAAAAACAGAAAACAAAACAAAAATACAGCAAGGTAACGCTCAATTACAATGACTCTCCAAGGTATCTGACATTCATGTTATTAAGATGTTAATAAAAAAATCCCTTCTTAGAAATTTGCATATTATCATGATTTTATCATCTCAGTTCATACTTGGTCCAGTAGTTTTACATGACTTTTTTAGCTTCAATCTGCTTAAAGCGGTGTATCTTGAAAACGCAACAACTTATTTCCCAGTCCTCAATGCCCAAAGAAGTTGCAATAAATCTATACTGCTATACAAACTGTAAACTCTTAATAAATTAAATGTATGTAATCATTATATGTAGAATGTTCAAAACATTTCCACGCAATGCATATATGTATATCCCATCTGTGTTATTTTTGTGCAGATCTGTTTCTGTAGAAGGTAACGATTATCTGCACAGAAAATGAATACGGTGTACAGAGTTCATTTGACCTTCGATTCTGTTTCTTTTACTACATATTATTGTACTCGGGAAAAGTATAAATCCAACTTCTCACATCTTCGAGTTAAACATCAGAGCATATTGATCTCTCCTTCTTTGAATTTGCAACCAGTCCAGGAGAAAGAACATTTCAAAACCATTCCAAAGAGGGACGGACTCCGCCAGGCTATTTTACCTAAGACACACCACTGTTACCCTGAATACAGAACATGTATTACGAGTCTAATGGTTCAGTAGAAAATTGACTTGATGAAGTCCATGCAAGGGAGTTTTCTTTCTAAATGTTGTCCTAGGCGACGATAGCTCTTCGCACATTCTATTATTTTCAGTGAATTACCATGACACCATGGGGAAGATAATGGAAGAAATTCCTATTCTTAAGTTATACGCAGATATCCTGCTCTTATGTAGGCTGTCAACCAAGGTTAGAAATCCAACTCTTCTGTACTTTTCAACCCATAATGTATAAGTACAAAAGTAAAACGGAACTGACTGGGACAGAATTTGAACTCGCCGATTTCAAATGCCGCACTGAATATCGTTGCATTCATTGCAGAAGGGAATTAGATATGAATCTTTTTATCTGTATGCGATTCCTTTTCGATTAAATATCCGCATTAAGTTGTTTTCAAATCTTTATGGATGGTTGTGTTTGCATTGTCTGTCAATCAGCGAAATTTAAAAGTCCCTTGAAGTTAAAGACACGTTATCATCCTGTGTGAATTGGCCGAAAGTCAAGCCAGGTACTGCATTCTCTGATATGTCTTTATTTACAAAATGCTATCGGGTTATTATCCCTGTACAACAAGCAATATATCAGAAACACTTGTCAACGAGATTTGCTTTAAAGGCAGAGTAGTGTTCCCTTGTGATGGTGTCGATTTTGACTTACGAGAACTTTGATTACACATTCAATGAGAGACGACTAATGGTGCTATACCATTTCGAGAAAAAAAATCGAAACATTGTGAACGCAATTGGGAAATTTGGCAGGTGCGCTGTGTTGCCTTTAACTCGTGTTTTTCATGTATTATGTTTCATACTTATTTTATTGTCGTTGTTTTTTCTTTCATTTTTCTTTTTTGTTAAATTTGCCTTTCATATCGTTTTTTTCCCTAATTTTTTCTTTCGTTCAGTATACTGTTTTATTAGCCTCATATTTCTTCTACTCGCCTTTTACGTGGGATCTTTTCTAATATTTTGCGCTTAAATTTTCATTCACCGATTATATTGTACTTTCTTAGCATTTTCCTTTTATTTCAGTCTTTCATTTTTTTTCAAATTTTCTTTTGTCTCTGTTCTTAATATGATTTTATATTCCTTTTTTTAGTTCCTCCGTTAATCCTTTGCCGATTTACTGATATTCTAATCCTTTCCTATTTATTCAATTCTCATTTTTTTCTGTTTCAATATATACTTCATTTTTGTTTTTTTTTTCCTGCTATTGTTATTTTCTTCATTCTTAACTTTAATGGATTTTTATTTCTTTCAATGATTTTCCTTTCTTTTTCTATCATTCTTTCTGGCTTTATTCCTCGTTCTATTTCTTTTTCGACTCATCCGTTTTTTTAACATTCATTTTATTTGTATTTTTTATTAATGAATTTAATTATTTCTACTTGTTCATCGATCTATGAACCTTTTTTTTTAGTCAGCGCTTCCTTCAGGCGATATTTACTCTTCAATGACAACTATCATCACCAGTAAACAATCATTTGCTCCGTAATTATCTCTCAGTGCATCACGACATTAGCTATCAAACTTCTAATTCATTCCATCTATTAAATCTAAAATGATGAATCTTCATACTTATACTTTGAGATGACAACTTTATTACAAAAATCGCTGGTTATATATTTGCTAGTTTCAACGAGGACGTTCGTTTTAATTAAATTAACAAATTCGCATTTATTCATTATATATAGCAACAACTGAATGTTAAACTTATCTTTCTCATCTCAACATTTCCTTGATATGGTATCCATTCAACAGGGATTTGATAGTTAAATTGAATCTATTTTCAGAAAATATTTCTTAAAATATGCTACTTAATTTTCTATAAAAAAACGTTAATTTCTTTACGTCAGCTTTAAATTTATTCCTTCTTAAAGTTGTTTTTGTATAATTTTATTGTATAGAGTACAATAATTTCTTACAAAAACGAATTTAAATGATATCAAAAGATTAACGATTTTTTTTTAATATCAAAACACTTATCGCGTGGCTACCATAACAGTGTACGACCGAACTGGGAAAGAATTGCCGCAAATGTCAGTATATTTGCCCCTTTTTGTGCTCTATCTTTTAATATTGAAAATTTCATTACTAATACTGCTAGTCTTAAAAGCGTTATGCTCCAGAAATACAATAGTCGACTGCTTTTCTTATATATATATATATATATATATATATATATATATATATATATATATATATATATATATGTATATATATATTGCTAAATATAACAGACAATGAATGTCTATTATGTTTGATCATTAGCCGTTCTAAACTCCGTATATTTGCTTTAATTTAGGGAGAAAATAAAGAAAAAATGGTCCAACATTTGGATATTTTTTTATTATGCTGTTCTATGATCTAACCTTTCGGCTCGCATGGGCTATCGTCAGAGTGGTTATATGAACATTTAAACAAAGATATTTACCAACAAAGATGATATGCTGTTATGTTAATAGAAGATTTCTATGCGACGAAAACGATCGCGGAATAGAAGACCCAGGACGTAATTTCATGTTGCTGTTCTACTACGAGAGAGAAGGAAATTTTAACAACAGAACCATATGTCTAGATGCAATGTAATGTAATGCTTAGATCAAAGAACAGCATAATAAAGAATATATTCAAATGTTGGGGAATTTTTATCTTTATTTTCTTCCGAAATTAAAGCAAATAGTAGTAAATGGTATCGTTAGGATATCTGCTTTTTTCCTATAATTTTAACTTTCCTTCCAATGTTTGATGATCAATTCTTTTGCGAATATTTTAGTTCCTTGCCTTTGCATATGATGATAATTATTGTGTATGATTTGTGGGCGCAGATAACCTTATATATCAATTGAATTACGGAATGTTCTAGATTGTTCCAGTAATAAGATAATTGAGAGCAATATCTTACAAAGAATTATACCTTTTGAAATTAATGACATATTTTGTACGAATACTTTTTTCGCGACGAAATTTTATCAATAACACATAATTATATTTATAACAAAGATTTTTAATTGCTTTTTTTTGCATATTGCAGAATTATGCAATGGTGTAAAAATATTGTATGGATTTTAAGTTTTTCATAAGTTAAAACTATGTTAATTAAAAAGTTTCATGGTGTATGTTGTGACCAAGTAAATGGTTAAAGAAATAACAAAACAAGTGTTACAGATATATCATATATTAAACAGTCATTACAAGAGAAGAGTATTACACGACTAGTGAGTGTGTGTCGGATAATCCAGCGTTCAATCTATTCGACTGTTATATTTAACAGCCTCCACCCCCACCCACAAGGGATGTATGTGGCACAAAGCTGAGTTTAACGTGGGTTCTTCGAGCTCGTAGACTCGGCCAAAATATTCCATAAGAAACCGTATAAACGAGTTCAGAGCTTGTCTACATCACCGGACGAAACATTGCCCCGCGGCAAAGCCTCGTCCGGGTTCCTCTCTGCTCGAGGAAGAGAGTTCAACAGAGGAACAATCTTGTCGACTGTTAATATTAATAGCCCCCCACCACGGGGCATGTATGTGGCACAAAGCCGAGTTTACTGTGGGTTCGCCGAGCCCGATGGCTCGGCCAAAATTATTCCCTTAGAAACCGTAAAAACAGGTTCAGAGCCTGTCAACCTCCCCGGACGAAACTTTGCCATTCGGCAAAGCCTCCTCAGGGTTCCTTTCCGCTCAAGGCAGAGAGTTCGACAGATGGTCGACTGTTATATTTAAGTCCGCCCACAAGGAATGTATGTAGCATAAGGCCGAGTTTAACGTGGGTTTCTCCGAGTCCGTAGGCTCGGCCAAGAATAATCCCTTTGAACCCGCCTAGACGGGTTCAGGGGCTGTCTACCTCCGCGGACGAAACTTTGCCCTGCGGCAAAGCTTCGTCCGATTTCCTCTCTGCCGAGGCAGAGAGATCGACATTGAACAGTCTGGTCGACTGCTCCCCAATGCCTTCTCTCCTACTAATTTTATAGTAGGCGAAAGAGTCCAACATAGACTCTTTAGAGGGAGACACCACACTAGTGTACAAATATTTATTTTCACCCGCTACTCTCTCTCCCCCCACACACAGAGGGTGTCCCCCTAAAAAATTGGCATCATTTAAAATGTGAACATATGAGTAACTACATATCCCATCCAAACGAAATTAAATACGCTTCATTTTGAACAAGAACATATTTATTTAGCAAAATCTGAACAAGCTTTTCAAAGTAATGTAGATTTTATACCCGATTACACAAAGCTCCACAAATATTCAATATGGCCACCACCTATGCCAAGACACGCTGTAGCATATCATGCGTACCATTCTCCAGCGGCTTAGTGATTCTCTGTTTGAAGTTCCTCTAGACTTGCAGGAAGGGAGGAGATATAAATCCGTTCTTTCACATAGGTCCATAGAAAAATCACAAGGTGAACGTGGTGGTTATTTCAACAGCCATTGTCATTATCACTGACACGTTCGATACATCTTTCTGGTAGATTCTCATTGGGATAAATCCCCAAAGTTAACTTAGTTTTTACACATTTTTTTTAAAATTTGAGATAATTTGATTGAGAATTGCCTATGATATTCGACTATAAAGTGATGACAATTTTTAGGATATGCTACAAATTATTAAATACGTATTATAATGTTGTACGAATACCTTTTTCGCTTCGAAATTTTATAAATAACATATAATTTAACTATGCCAATCAAGAAAATGTACGAATATTTATTTCCCCAATTACACACACACACACACACACACACACACACACATATATATATATATATATATATATATATATATATATATATTATACAAACTAGATGATGCAGGATATTTATGTATATCTTTCATTAAGGAGTATGGATATGAAAAGTCTTAAGGAGAGATAAGAAGATGCGCACATTATGATAGAGAACTCTTTCGCCAGTCTGTACCTGCTTTCTTCTGTCTACATGTGACTTTGTTTTTTTTTAATATCTTAATTAATATTATCCCCATCTATTAAGATTGGCTAAATGGTCAGTTATAACGCTCCTCGGCCAGTTATCGATCTAAAATGATTGATGTAGCCCGGCAAAGGGTCTGATACTTTTCTCGCCAAACCACCAGTTTCAGCTGATGTTGGCATTCTCCCCCGGTCATTACACTAGTCATAGCTGCCAACACTTGGGTTTGCAAAGAATGTGTAAGACAAAATAGTCCCTGGACCGTTGCCGGAGACTAGGTTCACCATTTTGCGACAATTTCAATATAACATTATATTCACGTTAGAAAATATCTAGTCAATGTCCGCTTTTCTTGGGTTTATTCGAGTAATATGGCGGTGTTCGCTGAACAGATATCGAATTAATATTTTAATTGTTAGTTTTTTTTTTACAACTGGAACAATTAATTTAACTTCAAACTTTCCCTTAGCGATTTCTGTTTGACGGGATCAGCTCTTAAATCAACCAATTTATAAGTGTAACTAAAAAACGGTTCTCTCGAGGAATAGTGGAAATGCCGAAAATTCAAATATGTTTAAAAGAAATTATAATGTATTTTTAAAGTGAAATGTAGACATTTTTTCACTTAATGAGTAAAAAGAAAAAAAAAATATTATCACATTTACCATATTATCAAATGTCAAAAGACGTAATTTCTGACTTCAATTTTCGCAGATAAACCGCTCGTCACGGTCAGAAGAATCTATAAATATTAGATAAATATAGTTGTCTGACGAGCCTTGTATATGAAAAACTGACATTGGATAGATAATATATTTAATAATCAGTTTATTTATTATCTATTGCCGCTCTATTTCTTTTTGAATTGTCTGACACTGAGACAATTCTGATCGCACTTAAACCTGATTTACTTTATTAGGAACACCTCTCTCTCTCTCTCCCTGTCTGTCTGCTTCTCTCTCTCTCCCCTCTCTCTCTCTCTCTCTCTCTCTCTATATATATATATATATATATATATATATATATATATATATATCTTTTAAAAAACAGCGGCTCCTACTGTTATTAAGCATTACTCTTCAAGTAAAATTGTTCTCCGAGCCGCTGGCGTATTGTCGTCAAGAGAAAAACATTAAAATTCCTTCCTTTCTACCGTGTGACGATAAAGTTAAGATATCCAATTAGTTGGGTTTCGATCCCAGCGTCTAGCCATACGGAAAAAGCTGTGATACAGCAAACAATCTGTCTGTGGACTATATATATATATATATATATATATATATATATATATATATATATATATATATATATATATATATATATATATAGCTGGGGTCAACGCCGTTAACGAAGCCATATTTGGTGCCTGCCTGCTTGCATCTCGCTATCTGTGCCTGCCTGTGTCTCCATCTTTGTGCGTGCGTGTGCATCACTCTCTCTTTCTGTCCGTCTCTGTTTTTTCTGTCTCGCTCCCTCTCTCTATAAGTTTGCATTTCTCTTTCTCCGTGCCTTCTCTTTCTGTCTTTTCTGTCTGCATTTCTGTTTTCTGCGTGTCTGCGTCTCCATCCTCTCCGTTTCTCTGTATGTTTTCATATTTCTCTCTGCCTCTCCATCTGACTGACCATCTTTTCTACGGCGACATCCCGTTAAAAAAAAACGATTCCCGTACGATCATATAAGTTAAACAACGTCGAGTTTAGTAAATACCTAAATTGGGGATCGTTTGGGAATACAAGATGCTGTGTGTCTGGAGAAGCGAGATAATGGTTAGGGATTGTTAATCGGGGTGCCGTGTTCCATTACCTGTTGTGTTCGCTATATATGCACTCAAATACACACGGGAAAGAATTCGCCTCTTCTCCGTCCGACAACCGGTTAATTAATATGATTTGTATCCTTAAGCAATTATATCAAAAAAGTTCATACAACTAAAATACATATTCGGGCATTAAGTAGCCAGCAATCTATCCTTCTTAGTCTCAGCCTATTTAACTTTTTGTATGACTATCTTTGTATGTGTCAACCTATTTATCTATCTTTATCTGTGTGCCAGACTGTCGATTTATCTATCTTTGACTCTCTATTTATACATCTGCCTACCTATCTAAGTCTTCACGTTATCTATCTATCTATCTATCTATCTATCTATCTATCTATCTATCTATCTATCTATCTATCTATCACAGTATACTCGTTATCTATCTATCTTAGTCTGCCGAAAGTGGACATTGGAGAATCGCAAAGTATCGCCTTGCGGAACTAGATGTCTATTTAATCTTGCTTTTATTTTTTGGGGACGTCCACTTCTTGATTGTGGTGCCATCTTACCAAAGGCCTGCTATCCATAAATACTTTGATGCATGGTAAATAAGTTCATACCAAATAATAGCTTTTTGAGTCACCTTCATTAGCGTTCACCATCGTTATAGGCTTCAATTATGCGGCTTTTTGAAGCTTCTTTTGATGTCATTTAAATTTAGCCTCTAACTGAACACTTTTGCATACACAATGAGTTATATTGTTTGACTGCAGTATGCACAGCTTACCAAGAAAAAGAACACGTGTCATTCTGATTTTTACATGTGCACAAAAAAATTATTTGCACTGGCATCCATGCAAAACAAAAATACAGAAGGTAAATATAAGGGTTCACTTACTTTTGCACATCTTAATTTCCTATTAGTATTTTTATTCTAGCTTTATAAAAATATTTGAAAGTGGTTGCAATTCATTTAATAAAGGTTTTTCTTAATTAATATATATCTTAATTAAGGTTTCTTGATTACCTGGAAAAAAGAGACAATTTAAAAATTAACTTAGGGTTTCACTTACTTTTGCAGAGCACATATATAATCAGTATGTGTCGCATTGCTGTCTCAGACTCTTTTGCTTCCAGATATATTTAGAAAAGCTATTAATTAGAATATTGTGAGTTTATTTGATTGACCTTCAAGCGACTTTATGAAATATATTTGAAGCAAGGAATTAATAGGACCTTTTCTCCGCTCCACTGCTTTGATATAATTTCGCAAGTAATCAATTTTCAGACTCAGCCTGAAGGAGAAATTGGTGACAACAAACCCCTAACAAACAATTTGGAAATTTCTTATAATCGACCTAAACCATTCGTAGCATTTGAATAAACAACTTTCTTTGTCAGCATCGTTTTAACAGCACAAAACAAGATCAAAATTTAGGATGATTCGGTCTGTTTTGGATAAAAGGCCAACAGAAGAAAAGGATCTATAGGCGGTAGGCCGTTGTGAAATTGAAATGTTTTATACAAAGATACACACAATACAAAGCTCGAAAGCCACTGTAGAAAATGAATGTTAAATATAGTTATACTGAAATGTGTGGGTGATGCAAATGAAAAGAAAAGATGACAGAAGTTGGAAATATGAGGATAAACAGGATACAAAACAATTTAATTGATGAGGTTAAAATTGGAGATATCAAGAATAGATTTATACTGTCTGTTCTCTGAAGGAGTAGTTCTTGTAAATTTCGCATGATATATGATATGGAATACGCAGAAACTGAGTGTAACTGGAAACCTTAGCAGCCCCATAGCGCAACCGTGCTATAAATGTTTTAATTATTGGTCCTAGATGATAGAAAGAGAAAAAAAATCTACCCACCACACTGAACCTTCCTAAACCGGAGGGAAAATGGCAATAGCTGATATGATATATATATATATATATATATATATATATATATATATATATATATATATATATATATATATATATATATGTGTGTGTATATATATATATATATATATATATATATATATATATATATATATATATATATATATATGTAGTAGTACACATTAAAATCCAAATTTACCTCATGTAGGTTATATGAGGTAATTATAGATTTTGTTGTGTAATATTGTTTCTCTTATAATAAATATATTGAGCACTTTTGTTGATCAGTTTTAATCACTTGGGTTATATACTAAAGGATTTATTACGTTTACTTTATTATTATTATATATATATATATATATATATATATATATATATATATATATATATATAGTGGTTGGACAAATTAATTGAAACACTTGTTAAATTCAAAGAAAATGTATTTAATATGGAGTCGATCCTCCTTTAACCTCACAGACAGCTTTAATATTTCTAGGAATGGAATCATATAGCTTCCTGACTTCATTCAGATGAATTTTCAGCCATTCTTCTATTAACACTTTCTCCAGCTCTTTACGACACGACAGTGGAGGATAGTGACTCTTAACTTGTCGCTCCAAAATGCACAGCAAAAGTTTAATAATATTGATATCTGGAGATTGGGGAGGCCACTCCATATGTTCTAGCTCCCTTTCATGCTCCTCATACAAATTCTTAACCACTCAAGCGGTATGTATTGGAGCATTATCGTCTTGGAAGATGCAGTCACTATCAGGGGATAAACTCTGAGGCATTGGATGAATATGATCACCCAAAATGTTCAGGTAATCTTTGCTGTTGATTCTACCATACAGGGCAACTACTGGACCGAGGTATTTCCATGATATGGCGGCCCAAACTATCACTGATCCACCTCCATGCTTCACTGTTGGAAGAAGGCAATCAGGATTTTAAGGGCTGCCTACACACATAAACTCACCCTGAAGTTAGGAAAAGAGAAAAACTGGACTCGTCTGAGAATAAGACTTTCTTACCAGGCATTGTGATCTCTGCACCACTTCAACCAATTCTGAATATTACGAGTGGAGAGAAGGGGTTTCCTTACGGTGGCTCTTCCATGATATCCAGACTTATGGTGGTCACGACGAATAGTTTTAGTAGAAACTGGGTAATTCAGATGAGTATTCAACTCAGCAATCACTTTGGCCGCAGTAGTCCGATGATTTTTCGCCACTTTGCATTTCAATGCACGTCGGTTCCTGTCAGTAAATTTGCAAGTCCGGCCCGAATTGCTATGCTTGCTAGAGGTTTTACCCTGTTTCTTGAATTGCGTCACAGTTCTTGATATGGTAGCTCCTGAAAAACCAAACAGTTTAGCAACCTTTGTGATCGAGGCTCCTGCCATGCGATCTCCAACAATTTGCCCATTTCCGAACTCAGAGAAGTCACGCATTTAGCTTAAATTTTACTAAATTCTAAAAATAAATAAGCCAAAGACAGTAAATTAAATAAATAAACGTATTCACAATAGATATAACCTCCGATTACGAAGTTTTAGTTAAAGTCCTTAATATAATAGGTCTTTGAAATATAGAATTGGAATTTGCACCTGTTTCAATTTATTCTGTTCAACCCCTGTATATATATATATATATATATATATATATATATATATATATATATATATATATATATAGTGTGTATGCACCCCAAAAAATGTACACAGTTTGACAGCTGACAGAGTAATTATTTTTTTCGTTCCAGATTAAACCCATTAGAATTACTAATGATGGCGGTCTAACTAAACTTCGAACAAAGAAAATTCATTTTAAAATGCTACTGGAAGTGTGAAAGACAGTTTAGCGGGGAGTTTTAAACAGATCCACCAACGTGACTGACCATCACTCGAACTAGAGATAAGTTTGAAGCCGATGGAACTGTTCCGAATGACCACGAGAAGCGTTCCGGAAGACACACACATCGATAATACCCACAAAGCAAGAATGTGTACTGGAAATATATCAGCAATGTATAAGAAAATTTGTGGGGCAATCGAGTCGTGAGGTATTTATTTAAAAATGATCTGCCCAATGTATTTTGAAGGGTTGTCAATGGAATGGTTACATTCCAACTTTAGTCTATGATGTTAATGAACATCATCCAGGTCAAATATCTTACCGTGAGATCTTGTCACACTGGTGGATTGGATGAAGGCGTTTTGTGGAATACTCTCCGCGTTCAGCAGACATCATACCGCTAAAAAAATTTTATGGGGATACTTAAAGGACAAAGTCTACGTAACTGTAACTGAATTACGAGTAGCCATTGAATGAGAATGCACAAAAGTATCAAAAAGAGTGTTCGGTGATGTTTGTGATCCCATTGCTTCACGTTGTCAGCAGTGCTTGGACCAGCACGGATATCAGTTTGAAAAAAGGCATTCATAAAACAATGAAATAATGTAAGTATATTCTATTAATTTTGAAAATGAAATGTATTTTAATAAACACTGTCTTTATAACTTTATAATTATTTAAAGTGTGTGTATATTTTTTGGTACACCTATATATATATATATATATATATATATATATATATATATATATATATATATATATATATATATATCAAAAGAAAAAAGTTGCAAATTAAAAAAATAATAATGTTTTTTTATGAAAGTATTTATTTATTTGTATATATATTTGATATTTCAGATTGGCCTCAATCTTTCTTCAGAAATAACTGTTTGTTTACAAGTAGCGTCCGTCGCGAGATGCGGACGTCACGTGATATGGAACGAATATTCCTAACGTAAATCTAACTGTAATAATATTTTAGATGTTGTTTAAAAAATAAAAAAAATAAAATAAAATAAAAATTTTTAACTATTGAAATATTTATAAAGATTTAAAATACCCAAGTCTTTATGTAACCCTAGTTTATATGTATTTAATTTTAAAATCCAGTATTTTTCTTTTTTTCTGCGTGTGTATGTGGAACTGAAATCAGAATCTATCAATAAACATTTACAGTTTTCTAATGAGTTTCCTGATTGATTAAAGTGTTCAGCTATGGGGGAATAAGGATTGTTTTGACGTATGGTTTGTTTATGATTGTTGAAGCGAAATCTAAAATTATTTCCAGATTCACCAATATATCCACTATGAGGACATAAGGTGCAGAATAAATAGTAGATTATGTTATGGCTATCACAGGTGAGGTGAGGTGGGTATATCTTGATATTATATATATATATATATATATATATATATATATATATATATATATAACGATCAAGTAGTGACGTGAATTTGTAGTGATCAGGGAAGCAACCCCTCGGAAGTCTGTTTTACAAAGTAATACTAATAGATCTGGAGAAAGAATATTTCTGAATGGAATTTACTTTTTACCTGGCCCTGTCGGTTGGGGCTTCAGAATACGCGGGCTGCACTTCTACAGTGCAGTAAACCCGACCCAACAAATGAGGCGTCCTAGATAAGACGATAAAGAACATCCACTTTCAACAGTAAGGCCTCCGATCAGGAAATTTTTGAG